GGAAGCCAGGAAGAGAACTGGAAGACATTGTTTTCCACTCTTACAGATTTCCCCTCAGACTTGATTGACAACCGAGATACCGTTTACATATTATAACGTATACCTATACAGTTTAATATATAGTACTTTGTATATATATATATATATGTAAGCTCTGTGTACTCGCTGTATTATATATATAAATATATATGTATGTAATATGTATATATGTGTGCTATGTGTAGTATACCACATTTACCGCGTTAACCAAAGTATTCTATATATTATGCTGTATGTTGTATTCCTATATATGAATAGTGTACATTTAATATGGGACCCAAAAACATTTTCATTACTGATTCAATGTAGCGTATAATAATATGCATGTTGTTATTATTTTTAACCATGAACCTATGTTTTATCCTATATTGTTTTGAATTCTTTCTCACTATTGATGTTTATAGTTTAAAGGTACTTAGTAGTCGTTAAAAAAATAGAAGTATAGTACAGTGGTACGCATAGAAAAAGTTCCAAAAATAAGTCATTTACTTTATCGTACACATGTTCATTACACCCCATTGCACCCCATTGTCACTAAAATAATCACAAAAAACCAATGCATTTTTAAGCTTATCCATAGTTGAATTTTTATTCTTAACTTTGAAGACTCTTAGTCATTTGTCCCGAGGTAACCAATTCGAATTTTGTGCAGTGTGAACATAATATATAGGTTTGATGATATAATAATATATATTTTATTATCGTATTTCTATTGTACGGTAAATAAAACAAATATTTAAACGTTTATATACCTATAAGCGAAGAACGAGGGATTGAAAAAAAAACGAATAAACATCGTTTAAAAAAAACCCTTAAAAGTTCTATATAAGTGGCACTACTGCAGAAGTAATGTGCAGCGGTGGAGTGACGAAGACGCTATACGCTGTGAAACGGGATAAAATTACTTTTTGTCCGTTTTGAACGGACGCCAAGAGAGTCGGAAACTTTTCTCTTTTTTTCATACTTCGACGGTTTACAGTTTATTCGTTTTTAACTGATCCGTATTGTACCCATTATTATTGGTGTGGTTCAAGATTACATGATGTATACATTCGTTTGAGATAATAAAAATAGTTTATAATATAATACTTCCATCTATAATAGTATACAGTTAAATCAAATTATTAAAAAAATATATGTATAACGTAGACGAACTCAGAAGCTTCGACATACCCAATGTCCTAGATGCAGCACTCGGTAATGATGCGGCACCACCACACAAATTTTTAAATTCTTAAACAAGACCAAATTGTATAACCTAATTTAAAAAAAATATAATTGTAACTAATTGTCGTGGTCGCCAATGTTAAAACAAAATACAATATAATACACAGTCTGTATATCTATACTGCTATATAGAATTCTAACTGATACATTTGTATTGTTTATATTACACACCAGGATTTTTTTTTAAATTAATCACTTCTCATCTTGAAAATTGTGAACGTTGTTTTGTATAACTTGAGGTCATAATACAAAACAACATTTTTGAAAAACTGTATAGTTTTACTATTTTTTTCTTAATCATTTTTTTTTTATTAATATTACAGCCCCCATACGATTTTAATTTCATATTCCTAAGAACAATGTTCTTCTGAAAATTCTGATTTATAGAAATAGAATATGAACAAGTAGTCAATTTTTTGCAAGTATTTTAAGCATATTTTGAATGAGCATACTGTAGGTAATCTTGAATCATTGTGTGGTACTTCAATCATGAGCTTTAATGACTTATTATTTATAACTAATTAACTACTAGTTAGAAATTTGATTATTATCCATTCAAAGTATAATAGTCACTCCGGAAAATTAAATTAAAAATGTACCTATGTTATTAATCAAAAAATTAAATTAAAAAAAATTAATATGTATGTATATTATAATATAATATTCGAAGTGTAAGCTTATATATTTTAAATATTTACAAATCTGTATAGTATACTATCAATCACGTAAAAAACATAAAATGGTTAATATTATACCTACAGATTGTCGTTAAGTATTCACTATTCAGATATTTATCAGACACATATTATATATTATTTGAATGTCTTCTGTTATCAAAGATTAAAAACTGAACACGGAAGTTAAAGGGACCATAATAAATAATTTGGAATATACATACATGGTTCAAATTGGTTTCAATTACTGAACTAAAAACCAATAAATTTATAGTTTAAGCCATTTGATTTGGTGTAATACCACTACTTCCTACGATGTTGTATGTGCTATTATTTATCATAAGAACATATAAATTAAATTAAATATATAAAATTCTATACAAAAAGCGCCGAACATATACAATTGTATTATTTCCTTATTTCATATACTGATATACAGAATCACTTATGTTTCGGTGTACCGATTATTTATGTTCAATGTGAAAACAATACAAGAATTGCTTACTCATAGTCTATATACATAGTAATAAATAGTATACTTACTCTATTTTATACAGTATACCTAATGCTATTACTGTGAATTGCTTTTTTGGGGTTTAATAGTTTCCGAAAAACTGGTAGAGGATTACATTTTATAAATAATTTGGAAATCGTCCATATTATTGCTGTGCATATCATAGACGAATAAAATTATCAAAAATAGATAATTATTCGTAAATGTATTATTCAAATTATGTTTAATGGACGTGACTGTACATCTGTGCTAACCGTAATCGGAATACGAAGTGAATGTTTTTGAAATCTAACAATATGACATTTTCACAATGTACAGCAAAACTGTTGAGAACGAAAACAAAAAAGACGTAGAGCATTCTAAAAAATGTGAATTCAAATGTTCTTGACGTAAACTGTATTCATTATTCTATATTTCTGATAACAATCACTTGTTTCTTTATACTATAAAAAGTTTCCGACGAGGGATACAATGATTAAAAACTGAATAAAAAACCCAAAAACTTAACACCTAGAATAAATTTCAGGAATCACTGATTCCTATTATAATCACTTGTAGAACTACGTAGTACAAATATTGGTACATCTATTATTGTCCATTGATATAGATATTTTAATAGATAGTCATATTATATCTTTTCTAGGTAAAGTAAATTAGGTATTAAATATTATAATCCTAACACTAGCAGAGAAGAACAGAAAATGGGAGTTTTATAAAGATAAAAATAACTTAATTTTCCTTAAAAAAATATTATTATTATAGGTAGGTACTGTATGCATAATACATTTCTACACACCACGGCTACACCATTTGCTCGCAATATTGGACCAACGCCAGTCAGATACTCGGATGTGAGGCTATTCAATTTATTCAATTTTATTTACATATATGTACGTCTTCTGTGGCGTGAGTGAATACGAATCTCACAGGAAAGTATTTGATCAGTATTTTATGCGATTAAATCCTATCCTTTCACTTGCCGTATTCTACGTACAACTCAATCTGGAGTAACTGTCGAAGTCGTCTTATGCTCGCAATAGAATGATAATTAAATAAACAATACGCACAAACACCGACTACCCTCACTCGCATATCAATCGTAGGCAGGTTGTGCAGGGTAAAACAGGAAGAGTGTGTTTTTCTGCTTCATATACCTACGCCGTGTCATGTCCACAGACAGCAGAGGAGCCACAGCTATATTATTGTTGGACGCCTCGATGCGACAAAAGTGTGCGTTCGCACGCACACGCACCGAAGTGTCGGACCGAAATTGACGGCGGAACGATGCGGCGCTCGGTGTGATCCGGGAAAAAAGACCCTCCGGCCGGCGGCGCGGTGTGCGCAGACTGCAGAGGGGTTGGAATAGAAAGAGTGAACGAGAGCGGGAGTGAGCGAGAGACAGTGGGTGTGTGTGAGAGAGAGAGAGAGAGAGGGAAAAAAAGTCAAGGGTGAAACGGGGCCGGCCGACGGCCATTAATCAAAATCCCGTGACATATTGCTGTGTGTTACACCACTACTATAATATACGCGTGCAGTATACTATTTGCGAGATACACACACACACGCACTCACAGTCTCCTGGCTACGTATGTACGTACACACTACACTGGCACACTCGTGTGTGCGTGTGTGTCGAAACCCATTGACCTAATCTCCGATACCTCTGTCAATCGATATAATATGGGCACGACAATAAATATTGTAATTTTTCGTTTGTCGAAGACGTGCAGCGTCGTCGCAACGAAGCGCGGCGAAAAATTACAACAATAATAATAATATGATATTATTATAATGTAGGTATGTGGTATTACCCGGGTCGGTGAAATGCGTAAGCTGCTTTATTTGATAGGTACACGCGGAATAATATAATAATATATCGTCATTACTACGCACACGCGATACCTCCGTTTCCTCGATTTCGTATCCGTTATAATATTATTATATTATACGGTTCTTACCATGCGAAATCAGATTGTCATAATATTATTATTATTATTATTATTATTATTATTATGCGAAAATATTGTTACTGTTTCTGTCACGCGGTTGCCGTCAACAATGTTTTGTTATTTTCTTCAATCTGCGTCTCTATGAGTCTGTATAAGACGCCACGAATGGTTGACAAATCGTATACGCTATTTGGCCTATGACCCAATTGCAATGCACGACTATACATTATGATTTCGGATGACGTGGTGATAGAGACTTTTGAAATTTGCACACTCAGGTGTGAGAAATATTATGCACTTGATCTAGTGACCTGTACTTACCGTCGAAGATATAATAGTATACATCATATCATAATTTACAAAAAGTAATGACCAATAATACGATGTAATATCTAGACTTGTCGGGTATTCAATATTATTATTTTTTATTTTTTTGTTTAATTTAATTATAAGTTTTAACTACAATTTATTACAATCGTTAGGTAGTAATAATAATAGCAGCAATATATTTAAATACATAATTAATAGAAATAAAAATTAAAATAAAGAAAAACGTATTGCAATTATGTCCGTTATTTTGAACCTTTTATACAACTTTTCTTTTTTTTGTCCCTGGCGGCTTTACAATAAGACGAGTGTTTTCTACTATATAATAATATAAACATTAAACATTAGGCATTAATTTATTCCCCTTCTCAACATATTTCTTAGCGATGCAATTGAAACTAAATAATAATAATAATAATAATAATAATAATAATAGTAATAATATCATAAAATAAAACGCGACAATAATAATAATTTTATATAAGACAACAATTTCTAATAATGTATAATAATATAATTTAGTAATAATTAATTTTGTACAAGAAATATTTAACACGACCAAAAGGAAACAGTTATCAGGTATATTATAAAGTTACAATATTTCATCTATAATGTGTAAGTAATGTACAAAGTTGCAATACAATGCGACACGTGGTTTAAAGTGCAACATCTACATCACTGTTAATTTACAACGAATTTTTCTAATCTAGAAAATTAACGGTAGGTAGAAAGAAAAATATAAAAAACAACAAAAATAATAAATAATAAATCGTCGAAGATAATATCATCTGTTTTTCGTTTAAAATAATTTGGTATACAAATGAAACGTAACGGTTGAATAAAAATATATACTTAACATAAAAACAATAATATTTTAATGAGCACATTGGACATGACCGAGCTTTGTACAGAAACAAAAAAAATAATATGTGTGCAGACAGATTTCCAAGTGGACATCCACTTAGAACCTATTGAATTCAAAAACCGCCAAACATTGATGGTATTAAAATAATATTGTACTTTGGTTTAAAAACAAATTAAATCGTTAAATGTTAACTTAATTGTGTGAGTATCAGGTAGAAAATTGTACGATGGTTTCGATGTGTACAATATATACGCGATGATGACTTGGAAATAATCCCGGTGCTAATTATAATTTTGATCGAATACTAAAATTTAAAAAAAAGGAAAATCATTCGACGGTCGACGAAGAACAAATAGTCAGTTGGGACGAAAAAACCAAATCAAAATTTAGCGTACACAAAACAAATAAACGCACAAGCAGTGTAAAAAATCGATCAACATTCGACAACGATTAGCGGTCCGGAAAAACCCGTATCGGCCCCGAAAAACGAAATTGTAGTTTAAACGGACACCTAAACAGACGAGTAGAGGCAGGTATACCATAAACGTAATTACAACGGCGACCAAAGGTTAATAGTAGAGCGAATCTCAGCTGAGCTGATAGTATTCGGGTACGAACTCGTTGGCCAAGTTGCTGAGAAAGTTGAAATCGGACGAGCTGTTGCTGTTGTCGTGGACGCCGCCGCCGTGGTGATGGTGGTGATGCGGCGGTTGAGGGTGATGCGCCATAACGGCTGCGGTGGCTGCCGCTGCTGCAGCGGCTGCAGCGCTGCCGGTGACGGGAGCGACGACGGCTGCGGTGACTGCGTTTGGTTGGTGATGGAGCTGCTGGTGAAGCGACGGTTGCTGGTGTTGACAGTGCGGTTCACCGACCACCGGGCCCGCAGTCGTCACTGCTCCTGTGCCGTTGTAGAAGTGATGAAAACTGTTGAAGTGATCCCCGGACGAATCGGCGGCTGTCGCTGCCCGGACGCTGTTCGGTGGTGTCATGGCTACAGAAGAGCCGTGCGCGTGGAACTGGTCAGCGAACGCAGCCTCCAGTTCCGGTACGGCGGCTACAGCGGTGCCGGTGCCACCACCGCCACCTGCCACAGGATCTACGTAATACTGGCCAGCCGACACCTGCACGGCAGCCGCCGCGGCTGATTTGTTGTACCTGAGTTGCTGCTGCTGTTGCTGTTGATGGTGTTGCGGCTGGTGGTGTTGCTGCTGCTGCTGTTGGAGTTGTTGCTGCTGCTGCTGCTGATGGTGTGGTTGGTGGTGGTAGTCCATGTTGTACAGCTGCGAACCCGAGTGGTGGTCCTGTTGCTGCTGGAGATGTTGCTGTTGATGATGAACCCCACCGCCGCCTCCCATGTGATGGCCGTTGGTCGCGTATCCCTGGCTGGTAGCTTGGTACGTGCCGGCGTAACTTAAATGGTGGTGGTGGTAATCATCACCGCCGCTACCTCCACCTCCACTACCAGCGGTGCTACCCCCGTAACCACTGACGCCGGTCTGTTGTTGTTGGTATGCTTGACGGTGGTGGTAACCGACAGCTGTCGGAACGGTTGCGGTCTGCTGGTACGAGTCACTTCCGCTGCCCGTCTGATAACCGTTATTATTGTAACCGTTACAGTATTGTTGTTGTGGACCGTAACCCGCGCCTTGCAAATATTGTTGACGACAATGGCCCGGACCGGTCTGTTGCTGTACCCTGCCGGGGCTCTGGACGGCCACGGCCGCTCCAGACTTGGACTTGTAAGACGAAGACGACGACGGGGGAGAAGAAGTTTCGGGCGACATGTACCAGCGGCTTTGAGTGGTTGGCGGATACTGTGTTAGATAGCAATCCTTGGCGGTACCGCCGAAATTGTTTTGCTTGTTGTATTGCTGTTGCTGTTGCTGTTGTCTGTAAGCATCAGCGACCCTCGAGTACGGTGACTTGGCCGCCGGACCCCCATTGGACGGAGTCGGTGGTGTAGAAACCGAGTGATCGAGTTGTTGTTGCTGTTGGTACATGACGGACGCAGTTCCCAGAGGACTGGAGAGAGCGGTGGACGGCGTGTCCGGCGTGGATGGCGTCAAACTTCCCACGGACGTGCCACCTGCCTTCAACGACTTTCCGACTTCTGGCGATATATCCGGCATCAGCCTCATCGAGTCTTTCGGGCACATCGCCGCCGCCGATTTTTTATTCGTCTGCGGCTGTTCCGGTTTGCCCGAGGGCTCCCTCTTGACAGCCATGTGCAATATGCCCTCGTTGGACCTCGAGTCGTCTTCCATTTTCGTATCGAACGAGCTGACGCTACCAGCACTACTTCCGGCCCCGCTGCTGTTCCGGGTCACGTGCTCCATCATTATGCCGGGTGGCAAGTCGCAGTTCTGACAACTCTTCTTATCGTCCATCTGTTTGTCGCCACCGCCGCCGCCACCCGACGACTTGCCATGTTTGCCGGTCGTCGTGCCCGAACTCTGCGAGTCCTTGTCGTCGCCGTCCTCGCCCTGTTTGTTGATGGTCTGCCGCTTGTGCTTCATCCGTCTGTTCTGGAACCATACTTTGACCTGAAACACGTATATTTGAACAAATACAATCACACGTTTTCATTTCTTTCCCCTCCAGACCACATCATTTTAATATAGGATAATCGGAATAGAAGAGACACACATTCGTATTATATTATTGTCATTATTGTTATTACATTGTTCCTATTGTTGTTATCAACGCAAGGGGCATTATAATACGTATAGGTATAATATATATGTGTACAATACGCACACGTACGATCTACTCACCGTGCAGCCCATGGGAGCATGACACGTTTTATTTTTTTCCGTTTCGTGTCTGTCCAAATTACAATTTAATAGGACCACAAATCGCACATATATATATACATATCGTGCATATAATATATATATATATATATATATCTTTATACAGGCAGGTACATACAGTGTATAAAGTATAATATTATTATATGCCTGCTATAGTGCTATGAGGCCACGGAGTTTCACCCGAACACTATATGGCCGTTTCCGTTGCGTTTTCACGACATACACGAGCCGTTTATACAACAGCGTGTTTCGTTGTCGTTCACGCGACACGGTCGGATGACTTCAAACGTGAAATGTTTTTAGTTTTCGAATCCTCGTCAAAAGTCCGACAACAATCAGGTACAATCTCTCTGCCCCACCCACGTTGTCCACCCAATTTAAACGGTACCTTTATGGCCAAATATCCATCTAACTGTGTTGCAGTTAAATAAGAAACACAGTTTATTTCTTCGAAAAAGCCAAAGTTAAAGTCACAACCAAACACGCTCATAGCATAATTATTATGTATTATCGATTGATTTAATATTTCTGACTATTTAAATATAACATATAATATAAAGAGTTTTTTTCGGTCAGTGCAGTACCTATAACATACCTATGTATAGGAACTGGTGTACTTTGAATAACGACCCACCCACAACATACATTATAAATGTTCGAAACATTTGAAAAGTAAATTTTATTTGAATTCTGTGTATAATGTTTTAATAACGCTGACAATGAATGTAATATTGTATCTTAATGGCGTAAATATTTCAAAACTGCCTGAAGTCATACCAGGATTGTTTTCCCTTGAGAACTGCCTTCTTATAATGTATTGTACGAAACCATGTCATTTTTATCTTTTTTTTTTGGAAAATATTATTATTATTATCATCTTGTTCAAGGTCCGAGTTCATTGAAATACAACTACACTATACATTAAACGCGGTAATCGCTGGGAAACCGATTTTTATAACTCCGAAGAGCATAACATAATAACAACAGTTGGTTATATATGTTCCGGTACGATTTTACAACGCGAACACACTACACTGGCCAAGACCTGTAATTTAATGTCATTTAATTTTTTCTGATGAACACAATCCAAAACTATGTTTTTTTATTACGATCATACAATCAAAACTACGAATAATTATTTACCAGATAAAAATATTTTATTATGTCTCGACATTTCTTGATCATAATTATTATTTTTGTGCGTGCATTTAAATTATTTGATTTGCATCATAACACACCGTTACCTTTTCAATTATTTTTAGAATAGTTATTTAGAGTCTGCTACGACTTGACAGCAGATTTATACGACTATGATTATCAATTAATTCAATGACATATTATATACAATGAAATAATATATATCCTGTATACCTGTCTCTCGGTAAGGTCCAGAGATGCTGCGATTTCTATTCTCCTGGGCCGACACAGATACTTGCTGAAATGGAATTCCTTCTCGAGCTCCAGAAGTTGAGTGTTGGTGTACGCGGTACGAAGTCTCCTGGGCAAACCGTTTTCTGAAACAAACAGACGAAACGAAAACATAAACGATTGCCGAAATATGATGAGATGCGGGTCATGGAAAATAAAAATCCGTGTCAACCTCAGAGTTATTAATTATACGACACCCTATTGGCGGCGTATAGTACATATTTTTCGCCTTCGCATCTGACAAATGACATTATTAATATTATAAGAATACGAAAACACAAGACGGGAAAAATAGAAACATATTGGCCTGAACGTCCCTAATGACCGGCGGCGGCGGCTTAAGAGATAAATTTTGACCCAATGACGAGGCATCCGACGCGGACGAGGGAAGGCCGACCGCATTTGTTTCCGTCAGACAAACAACGCGCACGTTCTGCGCGGCAAAACGTGTTTGTTTTTCTTTTAAAAAAAAGCGTAGCTCGCCGACAGCTATAGAGTTCATTTTTAAAACGCGTCATTTCCGTTTCACTTGATGTGTACATCACAGTGTTTTCGTCGATTTCGTGACGAAATGGCATAAAGAAAGAGATTATTAAAGTGATGTCGACCGTCAGAAATATAATATCTAACAATAACCTCTAAGATCTTATTGATTATTTCGAAATCCGAAATCCGAAATGACACTCGCTGCAAAATAACAGGCACGGTCAAATAAATCGGCGTGCTCGCTTTCTATAGGTTTATGTCGTACGAATATATATAGGTTAGTCGCACATCTATGTAATATTGTTAATATGACTTAAACATTTTGCATCCGTTTTCGTATAAGGTTTGTGATGTAAGATTTATTCGAGTGCAGTATAATATAATATACGGGTATAACATTTTATTTGTAGAAAAACACTCGGCGGAAGCGTAAAAACGGTGTATTGCCATTCGATAAAATGTTCAATTTTTCACTGAATCCGGCGAAAACCGAACGGGATCTTTCCGAGTGATTTGTAAAGCGCGCGAGCGTGCACGCGGGAGACGTCATCAACATTCAACGAATAGCGGAAATACTTGTGGCGGGACCCCGACCGTTTCCGAGCGACAAGAAACCGATCGAACCCGCGAAATATTTTAATAATGAGAATTCAAATCGCGCGCATACACGACGCCACTCTCCGCCGGAATAGAGGTATACACGCGCGTGTGTGGGTGGGTGTCTGAGTGTGTGTTTCTCTGAAAGTCATATACATCATAGGTATATATACAAGGTATATACGAGGTCCGTTGGGGCGGAATTTGATTTTCGGAAGCAGTCACTTCTGTCGTCTCCCCCGTCAACCACCACTGGCATACTGCAGTGAGCATTGTGAGACGACGACGGTATATGACGGAATAAGATATAGAGACGGTCGTGGCGGTGCAAGCGGAATCGAAGGCGCGGGCTGCAAACGAAATATTATATTATACAGGACGCGCATCTCCGGAGGGTCGTGGAGACGAGAGGAGCTGGAGAGTGCGTGTGCTGCTGAGCTCGTACTCGTTTATATAATATAACGGTCGGCTGCGACGAGAAATCGACTGGAGGGTGGTGGGGAGCGGTCGTCGTTCATCAGTCATCGTCAAATCTCATATATACGATATGATATGATATGATATGATATGATATATATTATTATATACGCGGCCATGTGTCGCCAGGTAAAATTTAATATCGCCCGACCGACGAACGCGAGAGTTTGACTGGATGACAATAAGCGGGCGAGGACCGGCGTCGCTGCTCCGACTTAAACTGCGTATATATATAATGTGTGTGTGTGTGTGTGTATGACATTACCGTTGTTGTTGTTGTTGTTGTTATTATTATTATGTATATGTATAATGTATATACGGATGCACGAATATCTTTTACTCGAGCGCGAGAGGGGTTATTGCTGACATCATTTGTTGGGGTTCCGTTTCGGGATTCGTCCGTCAGTCTACCGCCGCATACATCGCCCGGTGTATATATGTATATAATATCTATATAGGTACCACCGACGAGGTTACGACGGCCCGGTTATTGTGGTGGGTCGTCAGTGGAGAGCGGGGACGGGGGTGGTTGAGCATTTTTGTTTCTGTCTCGCGAACAAACATTTTTTTTCTCTTCTTTTCGCTTTTCCAATATAAAACATCCGAAAGTCATCCCGCACCCCTTTCCACGCTCGTGTACCCTTCCTCCCTTCCACCGACAACCCCCGACACCACATAAAGTTAAGAAAAGTTACCGTATTCCTTTTTTTGTTTTTTTTCCATACGAAACGCTCCCCCTTTACCCCGCCGACCCTTTATACGCGTTGTGTTTTTTTTACAGACCGGTAAAAGAATTTTTGATTAATGATATTACATTGATTTTTCGTCGTGCTCATTCCCCCTCTTGCGCACGGTTTTTACTTACTTATTATTATTTTTTTTTAAGTTTTTGTTTTGCATATTTCTCTTGGTTTTCCCTATGGGCGCACGCGCATCATAACCTTAAGAATTTATGCGTTTGACACAACTGCAGTATATATACCTATTTCCCACCCCATACTTTTATAATATATACATAAACATACAAATAATTCGAACAAATGACTTTTTTTTCTCTCCTTATTTTAATCGCTCATTACATTATACAGTCATACAAACCAATGTTTATAGTAATCGTATTATATTATTGTTGTATACCGATTATTCAATCCTGGGGGTGGAATGGGAGATATGCAGAAAAACGAGATACTGCGGAAATCCAGTGATTAAATTATCCACTCGTTCATCACCCGCTTCGTACACTGTATGGTACATCGTACATATCGTGATAATGATCAGGGTAAGTCATCAACACTCAACACATAAAATATGTGAGGTAAAAATATTTGAAATTAAATTAAAATGGGTCACTACTATACAAATACAACAACTGTTATGTGGCAGTAACCAGTTTACCCATATGATAATATTTACGGTGAGTCGGTGAGTGATTTATCAAAATATCCGCATATGTACATAGCCTATATACACAGACTTCGGGAAACTTTTGACGTTTTCAATGAGAGACCGTTTATGCTTGTCACGGGTCTCAGCCTCGGTCGATTCGCGACAGGGGTGGGCTCGCAAATACACCCGCGCACGGTCGTATAAATAGATCGTAATAATAATATGAGACCGTGTGCGCTGGGAAATAATAACATACGATATTCTCAGGTTTTTCTTCGGAAATCCGTAAGCCCTCGAGTAACTCGTCAGTCCTCGTTTATGGATCGGCAAAGAATATAATATCATATATTGGTTTTATGCGCGATGTGTCGCAGTGCGCCTTCATACGAGGGCTGCAGACAGAAAACCCGGTGGCGACGTGACGTATAAAGTAGTTGTATATACAATGGGGGATGGATGCGAGGTAAGTATAAAATTTCGTACACAGAATGGGTAGAAAGGGATCGCGGCGATGACGTCGTTGACAAAAGGCTCTGCGACACTGGTGTTAATAATATAATCTCTCTCATTCAACCGAAATCACCGCGAGTTTGTTATGCCACGTAACACACACCCGAGCCTGGATGCACTCCGTCAACGACTATATAGGTAATTTTACACATACTATTAAAATATGTATAATGTGATGTATATATCACTTATATTATGTGTATATTTTATGAGACGTCGTTAACAGTGGCAAATATACAATGTGTGTGTGTGTGTGTGTGTGTGTGTGTGTGTGTGTGTGTGTGTGTCGTTTTGTATAATCTTGAAAACACCATCTTTATGATATATGCCACTCATCCGATTAGGTATATAATCGCATATATATGCTGCACATTTAATAAAATATAACGAGACAACACAGAAACATTCGATTTTGAATATAATTTTCTATATAGTTTTTTTTTTGTCAAAATTAAAAATAACCCACTCTTGTGAATAAAATAATATATTATTATGAATCCTTGGAATGAACAAATATTGAAAGTATATGAACTTTACTTAGTATCTAAATGTAAGATAATACTTACTTTAGATTTAGATTTGTTATAAGAATTAACCATCATCCAACATTTATATTTTATGGGCCGAGAAATTCTTCAAAGACTTTTTTAGCAACCTACTATATTTTAAACCAAAATAGACAAAACTATGATAGATATTGAACATTTCTAGTTTATCGAACATAATCGGGTGCCTAATTTATACACCTCCACAATTAAAATTGCCAAAAAGCAAAACCATCCAATTATAAACTAGCACGTGAAAACACGTATACCTAAAATAGAAAAACATATACTTTTGTTAGTATTACATAGCAACATGGAAATAAGTACGACACATATTCGGCTCAGGAAGAGTATAAAGGGGAACTATATGAGAGCCCAAAAATCAAAATACACTATTTTTAGATATAGCATTGTCACTGTTTTCTAAGCGCAAAAATGCCAGACTAATATTAGTAATCGTTGAACATTATATGTTTGTACTTTGACGTTTTAGGTAGGTAATTACTAATTTTATACTGTTTTAAACTTCTGTCTATTTGAAATTAAGTATTATTTTAAATCTACGATAAATTTAATCTAGGTAGGTGGTAGGTACTGTTATTATCCTCGCTTCCTGTCATAATTGTTCGGTTGATTGTAGATCGATTGGAAATTGAAATATAGCAATATATCGATTGCACTCTCATTTATGTTTTACATCGAAAACACGTCAAATACGAGTTTACTGCGTAAACTTCATATTATGGTCTCCAGCTATTAGTGAAGGGGGGAAATGTTAAGCATAACGGGGCTAACCGTGTTATATTATTAAACGCGTAATGACAAATCGGAATTGAAAATTTAACGAATTTCTTCAAGTAGACAGTGATATTGAACCGGCCGGTGTCTTAAATACACCTGTATCATCACGGTCTAAAATACACGCGTTTTGGTCATGGAAATGCCCCAATAAAACAGATTATCGATGAAGTAGCTCTGGGAATCCATCAACCTTACCTATGAAGTATGTACACACCAGTATGTCCCAAGTAATACATCGATATTCATTTTATCGTTTTTATTCGACGCGACGACTTATATTACAC